TTTGCTCTGCAGAAATCCCTAGTCCTTGCTGGCGATTGGAGCTGAGCTGGGAACTGGACTGAGTTAATCTGCTGAAAAGTGTGATTACCTGTGCTTTGTGACCAGAGAAGGAGTGGTGCTCCAGGGTGGACGCTCCTTTCTCATTCATGCCTTCACACACAACATTAATGCACATACTTCAGAACAAACAAAGGAGATTGACTCATTTTTCCGCTGTGCCTCGATAGGGAGCTGAAAAACAATTTCAGCTCCTCTTGCCTCAGTGCTGGTATCAAACAGAACCAAAACACCTCTCCAGGTCCCTGGAGATTGTTTGGCAGGGTTTCAGATGTCCACAGTCCAAATCACTGAACACATTTAGATAATGTGGCTGTGAATTTTCCTCTATGGTGTACGAAAACAGTGAATGAACTACATTAAAGAGATTTTAGAGAGGTGAAGAGTGAAGAAGAGGCCTGCAGATAAAGGGAGATACGTCCTTGGTTAAGGTGATCAGTGGTCAATGATACATTCTATACTATCCATAGGGGAGGACACTCAATATAGAAGAACCTTCTCCTGTCCTCCAAGGCATTACTGGCCTTTTATTTGGCTTCGAGTCAGAACAAGCCTGATGTTAAAAACCAGTTCCATGTTGTACATGCCACAAAAGGCATAGAAGGGAGGAGATTTCACTCGGGCAGGTGCCAGTGCTTTCCCTCTTTATCAAACAGAAAGCTCAAAATAAAACATAAATTGGTGCTGAGGCGCTGGCACAGGGTGCCCAGAGAAGCTGTGGCTGCCCCATCCCTGGCAGTGTTCAAGGCCAGGTTGGACACAGGGGCTTGAAGCAAGCTGCTGTAGTGGAAGGTGTCCCTGCCTGTGGCAGGGGTTGGAGATGGATGAGCTTTAAGGTCCTTTCCAACCCAAACCAGTCTGGGGTTCTGTGACTGTATGACATTGGTGTGTGCATTAGGGATAATATTACTATAGAAAAAAAAAATCCCTCTCAAAAATGTACTGAATGATCCAAGCTGGTTGAGTAAAATTGTGTCAAACAACATTTAGAATCACAGGATGGTTTGTGTTGAGGAGGCATTAAAAATCACCTAGTTCCAACCACCCTGCCATGCTCATCTGGGCATAAACTCCATGGATAAACTCCTTAGGGGAAAGAAAGCTGGAGGAGATGAGAAAAAATCATGAGATAGATACCCTTTCAGAGCTCTCCCACAGTTTTGATTAGCAGAGTGATTCTGCTGTGAAAGCAGTGGGGTGAAAGTGGTTAAACAAGAGGGTCAGAGCAATTGCCAGGCTTTGTTTTTGTTAATTCCTTCTTGATAGAGCCTAAAAAAATACAAGTTTGCTGAGGAGGTGCCAAGTTTTGTATACTGCAGAATTTATACAAGAGGGGCTTGGGACAAGGGCCTGTAGGGACAGGCCAAGGGAATGGCTTGAACCTGCCCGAGGGGAGACTGAGCTGAGCTCTTAGGCAGAAGCTCTTCCCTGTGAGGGTGCTGAGGCGCTGGCACAGGGTGCCCAGAGAAGCTGTGGCTGCCCCATCTGTGGCAGTGTTCAAGGCCAGGTTGGACACAGGGGCTTGGAGCAAGCTGCTCCAGTGGAAGGGGTCCCTGCCCATGGCAGGGGTTGGAGCTGAATGAGCTTTAGTGTCTCAGCTCAAACCAGTCTGGGATTCTGGGATTCTATAACTTCCTTGAAGATTTATTAAAAGTATTGGAAAAGAAAGAATAAATTTAGTGTAAATCTGAACTTTAACCCCTCGCAGAAGAGAAAAGGCACAGGAACAGTCAAGAGTTGCTCAGTAGCACAAACAACACAAACATTTTGTTTACTATTGGGGCCTTGTCCTGCTTGTCATACCCACTTCAGACAAAACTTCCAAATTTTCGCTGTTAACATCTTTAATTGGCCAATTCATGCAGAGATAACTTTTTGTATGTACTTGTTGGTATGGTCCATCTGAAGAGCAGTAAATGCTCACATATGGTTTCTACTTCAAATAACTTGCTCATGAGACACTGGATTGCACCTCACATCTTAGAACAAGGACAACAAAAGGTAAAAAAAGCCTGAGGGATATGGTTTGAAGGCACCTGAAAGTATACATTCCCATAAGAAGGTCCAATGCCCATGAGTAAGGGAAATCACCTATCTTCATGCTTTTTCTTGGTGCACTACTTCAACATAAATAACGGTGCTAAAGTATCTCAGAACCAAACCGGGTAGTTTCTGAGTCCTGGGGAAGCACTTTCATATCTGAAGGGCAGAGCTCAGTTTGGAGACACCGTGGGCAGTTCATAGAAACACAGCTTTGTGAGGGAATAATAAAAGGACTGTCAATTGCTAATGAGCCTTTTGAATCCGTTTATTGTTTATTCAAGCACCCAGGAAAATTCAAATCATAGCTCAGTAGCCTGTGCTGTGTTTTTTGCCATTCTCTTAGGGTTTTGATAAAAGAAAGGCTAAAACTAAGATGTGTAATACAGCTGCTGCCTTTCGCCTCTCTTGCGGTAGCAGCTGTACAAGTGATTATTTGGTCAACCACAAGTGTTTTTTAAAGGTGTTGTCAGGTGTAAGAAAATCTGAATGCTTAATTTCCACAGTAACACTATAGCAAGGATGGTACCCATATGGGCTAACCTGTACCAGTAAATTAACAGTGTCTGGGGCCATTCCCATGTGGCACTGAAGAGCTGTACCCACACAACAAAGCCCTCATCTTTCAGCTCAGGGTGGCCATGTCCAAAGTGCCACTGGGAAGGGCTGCAGTATGGGTTGACTTACCAGCCATGCTGAGAATGGATGCCTAGGACATGAGCGGGCTCAAGCACAACCCTGTCAGGGCCACTGCAATGCTTTAACTACACAGCTAAGTACAGGGGAGGTTAGTATAGACACAGCCTTAGGGTAGGCATAAGGCATAAACAGCCATTATCAGCTACCGGGTAAATCTTTCTGTACCCTTTTCTTTGTCTTTCCTTCATGATGCAAGGTGGTGTAAAGGTCGAGGGTTGAGTATGTGAAACACAAGTGTTTTATGGGATCCTCATCACTTTAACGTGTGCAAACTTTGGCATAAGAGGAAAGCAAACGCTGATAAGAAGCTTTGTTGGCTGTTTACCAAAGTAGATTGGTCTAGGCGGTGGCTGCCCTGTGTTTGTTTTCTAGGATCATGTTCTTGAGCTTTATCAGTGCAAGGGATGATTTTTTAATTCAAAACACTCCATTCATGCTTAATTCTGGGACATATGTTCCATCATAATATTTGCAGCTGCGGTCTGTAGATCAGTTACAAATGAGACAAGTGGTGTTTCCATTTACTGACTGGGGAGCTTAGCCTAACTGAGAGCAAATTGGACATTTTAAGTTTGAATGTTCCATTTGAAACGTATTTGTTGCATATCCACTCTGTCATTTCTGTGAACTGTGCATTTAATACACAGCTTCACAACTTCAACATACAACTTACTATTTACTTGCTGTTGGAAGTCACTGGGGAGCATGATGGTCTGAACACTGCTTTAGCAGGGAGTAGAAAACAAATCAATCTGCTGTAGACCCTTTGTGTCTGCTCTTGGGTCTGAACAGGCTGGCTCTCAGCTGGTGAGGGACAACGGGTAACTCTGCACGTCTGACCACATCCAGGAGCTCTGGCACTCAGAAGCCATTAGTGCAGTTAATTTCTTATTGAGCAGTGGGATTACTTTATGTCTGGGCAAAATTTTTGATCTGTAGTGGTAAGGCATCTTACCACCACACTACAGTCAAGTTCATTCATCACAGAAAGCATCATCAAGTCACTCTGTACTATAATCTATATAGTATCCTGCATCTTGACTATGTAGCTAATTCTCTTCTCAAAAAGGATATGGCTAATCAGGAAAAGGTGCATGAAGGCTACAAGTTATGGGACTGCTTCTGTTGGAGGAATTAAGGAGGTGATCCTGCCCCTCTATTCTGCTCTTGTGAGACCTCACTTGGAGTATTGTGTGCAGTTCTGGTGTCCTCAACATAAAAAGGACATGGATCTGTTGGAACAAGTCCAGAGAAGGGCCACGAGGATGATCAGGGGACTGGAGCACCTTCCATATGAAGATCGGCTGAGAAAGTTGGGGCTGTTCAGCCTGGAGAAGAGAAGGCTGCGTGGAGACCTCATAGCAGCCTTCCAGTATCTGAAGGGGGCATATACGGATGCTGGGGATGGACTCTTCATTAGGGACTGTAGTGGTAGGACAAGGGGTAATGGGTTCAAACTTAAACAGGGGAAGTTCAGGTTAGATGAAACAAAGAAATTCTTTGCTGTGAGGGTGCTGAGGAGCTGGCACAGGGTGCCCAAAGAGGTGGTGAATCCTCCATCCCTGGCAGTGTTCAAAGCCAGGTTGGACAGAATCTTGGGTAGCATGATCTAGTGGAAGGTGTCCCTGTCCATAGCAGGGGGTTGGAACTGGATGAGCTTTAAGGTCCTGTCCAACCCAAACCATTCTGTGATTCTATGATTACTGTGACTTTTCAACCTGGAAAAAAGACAACCAAAAAGTTCAATAGATGCCTTTGAAATCACAACTGGCATAGAGAAGTGGACTGGAATTGCCAGATGTCAATTGGCAACTCGTCTCATCTCAGGTCATAAAACAAGGCTGAAGGATGGCAGCTCTGAACATCAGAAGCTGGTTTGCTTTTCCCCCACAGCCTGTGTTTAAGCTGTGGAGCTTATTGCCACAGGATGCTGTAAGCTGCTAAATGTGTGCCTAGGTTTTAAAAAGTCACTGGATGAGTTTGTGTAAGTAAAAAAATCCATTGCAGGTTATTAAAAACAAGACATAATGTCTAGATCAAAAAAAAAACATGAGCAGTAAATCATTAGAAGCTAAAACTATATTCTGGGAATATAATTCAAACTGCTTGCCTGCTTTCAGAAAGTATCTGATTTCATCTATTATTGGGAAGAGGGTACTGGCACAGATGAACTTTTGGTCTGACCTGGTCCAGCTTTCCTGGTGCTTTCATTGCTTTTTTCCATGCTCAGAAGTCATGATGGTGCCAGCTCAGAGACTCTTGTGTTTGAGTACTGTCAGCTTGCATACTGCGTGAGTAAACTATGCAGGGAAGGGCATGAAAACAGACTGTGCCCTTCTTCCCCCTCCCTGCCTTCCCGATCTGTTGGGATATAAGGAACTATAAAACCGGATGACTGAATCTCCCAGGGATTTGCTGGGAATGAGGAGAATATTGAGAGAGCACCTCTGTGACACGTTCAGATGCTGGGGGTGGCTTAAACTGCTTTCAGATCTGGTGGTGCTGTATTGGTGTGGACAACATTCTATGCTGTTGTATGCTCAGGGATGACACCATGGCTGGGGGCAGGAATTTCACACAGGAAAGCCCTAGTAATTGGGGTGTTGCACATCATGGAGAAGAATGTTGCACATCCAGGAAAAGGATTGGAAGACTGCTGCTGCGGTCTTCAGAAGTCAACTGACTTTGGCATATCTCCCTCTATTTCTGTGGATCCACAAGGAATATTGTGAAATTTCACTACGTGTACTTCCAAATGTTTTCTAAATAACCAAAGGCAGAGGATTTCTGCCACGAAATACTTTGACATGTTATTTGTGAATTAAAATACTTCTAAAAAGATGTTCTTAGGGATAAATTTCCCAGTTCTTTTCTTTAGTGGAGTAAGCACAGCATTAAATTACAGCGAAGCTCAACTATGATCTCATAGTTTTCTTTTTTTTATTATAGACTTTTTTCCACATGAATGATAAAGAAACTACAACAGAGTTAAATACCTTTTTTGATAACAGCGATTATATTCTTAATTACACTCAATATTAAATTGTAAAATATTTCCAGAGGAGTACAATCGTTAATTCATACAGCAGGCAAAATACCAGAGGAGGAGAGGGCCGAGGGAGAGGGGTGTGAGAATTTCCAGTCTGCTTTTAAAAAGCACTGTGTATGGCTAACTCTGCCCTATCCATCCATCCATCCATCCATCCAAACGCGGTTCTGGCCCATCTGGTAAGACACACATTTCTTCCCATAAAACAATCACAATTCAAAAGCAAAGGATGAAACTGACAGATGTCGTCAGTGTTTGTGGCGTTGAAAGGAGTGTCAGTTCCCTTCACAGCTTATCCATACGATTCATCGAAAGCATTTTCTCTATCAGGTTCAGTAGTCCTTCTAAAAACACAGAGACTTAAACTTTGGTACCACCAAAAAAGATCCAGGACAGGCATTTTTTTTTTTAATTTTTTTTTGTTGTTTTGCTTTTACTAATAAATGGCTGCTACATTCTATTTTACATGGTTGTCCATGATGCTTTGAGGTCACTTGTCCTCGGGTTCAAAGGAACCTGTATCCCCAATCTTCCATTTTGTTTCAGTCTTTAAACAAGTCAGGTTTCTGACTGGCAAGTAATAACTTAGAAGGTTAACGGCTGCAAAATATCCTGTGCTGCTGCAAATTGAGACCAAAAACAAGGAAAAAAGAGAGAGAAAATGTTACAACACTAAGCCCAAGCCTGAGATTTCTTTACTCACAGAATTATAACATTAATCTGCAATCACTGAAAAGGGGATACATGCAGATCACCTGCTCCAGAAGCATCCTCTGACAATTTGCTAGTGAGCATCTGTAAAGCCAGGTGGAAATACTTTTAAATTAAAGATGAAGTGCAACTTGTAACTGACTGAAGTACCACTAAACACAACAAGAACTGCTGTGGAAAGGAACACAAAGCCCAACAAGGGTAGCAGAGAAGCACTGAGTATTAATTGAGTGGTTGCTCTGCAACGCACAGGGTTTTCACCTCCTTGGTGTATGATGTGGGTATGTGTATGTATTCACGTTCCTTCTTGAGGCAACTCTCTTCTGCTTGGCACATGGAGAATCTGCAATTGCTTCTGAACAATACAGTCGTGATTCTCTGCTTGACTGATTTAGCTTAGCAGTTAAGTAACAACTAATCTTTCAAAAACACTAGGGCCTACTTAGAGAAATCCCTGTTGTCTGCGGGGATGGTGTGCCACTGGAAACAAAAACAGCATGAGAAACACATCCATCCTCCACGCTCGCAGCAAATAGTCAGGAAATATTCATAGCTGTGATGCCAGCACCTTCCTTGCAGGGACTGTCAGCTGATGAAAACCTGATGATGGGAACAAATGGTGCTGTTCATCTGATGCTGCCATCCTCAGGCAGACTTATTGTAGATCAGTGCTTTGGACAAGGCGCTCAGGGCAGGACCTGCTGCTTCTCATCTGGAAAGCGTACTGTTCTATTTGGGCTATTAACACCATGGAATTTATTTTAAATCAGTGCTCAGATTAATGAGACTCAACTGGAAAATGCTGGCAGACAGTAATAAAGTATGCACAAGAGGTAAACCAGACCAACTTGATGCTTAGATTAGTCCCCTTATCTCAGCAGACAGAGCTCAAAGCCAGATACTGGTTATATGGTAACTATAATTACTCGTAATGTTTTAATTATCTGCTTCTTCCATAGCTGAGGCAAACATCCATCATCTATACTATCAACACCTTCTCAGATGCTCCAGATTTTCTCGAGAGCCTCTACTTTGTGCATTACTGAGGCCTCTACCTATGAATAGCTCTTTTCTTCTAATTCACCTGCTCTACCTCGGGGAACTTTTCAGTAAAGCCACAAGCCACATTTTGTACCATATCACCGTAGCAGGGCTACCAGCTTTCTGCCTCTCCATCTCTTGTTTTACCAGAAAAAAGAGAAAATGTTTAAATGTTGGGGCTGTAGCACCTGAAACTGGAATCTCCAATCAACCACGATGATGGAGATGGTGCTTCTTTTAACTGAATGCTTCTAAAAAGCACTCCTGAAAAATGCAGTGTTGGGTTTGGGAATATCCTGCATAAGGGCAGCAGGGTAACTGCCCTCTACAGGAGACTGAACTATGGAAGACAGAGTCTGTGTTGTTCTGTGCTCCCAAAATACACTGATCTTTCTTGAGAAAAAGCTCCACTATGGGCAGAAAACCTCATCTCTACCTGTCTATGTGTGAACTTTTAGTGCCTTCTGAATGCCAGGGTATTTCCCTCCTTCCACTGATGCTACATGACCTTTACACCACTACTCACCAGAGCTGAAGCACATGCTCAGGCAATGAGGCCTGGATTCACCCAGTGGTCAACTTGGAGCAGTATGTCCTACCCCAGCAGGAGTAATTTACGTGACATATCAATTATCAGCTTTAGACAGTAGCACAACACCTTCACAGACAGAGCTTTTAGACCAGAATGAGTAACATCAAGCCAAAGAATGATCCCCTTAGTCTTGCAATGGCTGCAGAGAAAAACATGACATCCACGTAAGACAGAATAAAGTCTCATCTTTCATAAGCTCACCTTTAGCTTTTGCTGAGGTGTGCGCCGAGCTTTTCTTTCCTGATCAAGCTTGCTGCATAGGGAATCTGCAATGACACAGAGACAAAGCCACTGATTTAAGCCAAGGTTTGGCTAATGAAACTTCTAAACTGGAATCCCTGCAGATGAAGGGTTTTGTTTGCCTCCCCGTATCATTTTAGGAAACAGTGCCTTAAATGAAAAGATTGAGCTCTTTACAAAACCACAAGAATGTTGACGCAGAAACAAAAGAAAAATGGCCCAAATTAAAACAGACAGATCTTAAAATCCAGTGTAAAAGATGTCTTCCAATATTTTGTTTTTAGCAGTTGCTGTCAAAAATTAAATCCACCACCCATTCTGCTGCCTGCAAGATGACAAAAATCAGCTGTTCGTAACAGAGCAAGCAACATGCATTGATCTCTGCACAGCCAAAATACAGCATGTTGGGAGTATGAGGTTTCAGGCGTTTATAGCACCATAATTGGGAAGTTCCTAATAGTTATCTCTGACTTGCATCAATCTGAGGGAAGCCACTGAAGCGGAACAAATAATTAAAGAAAAACAGAGAACATACATAGGCATATTAGGGAACAGAGATATATTTAGAAACAAAGTGGGATGATGTGCTTGCTGGCTACTGGGAATATGGTTTGGGGCTGCTCTTTTCCAGTGCTGGGCCTTTAGAATGCAACAAAAACTAAATTGCTTCGAGATTTCTCCATAGCTGGGAATCCAAGCGACTACAAAATCACTATTCCTTAATGCTGCCTTTTGGAAGGACCATTGGAGGAATTCAGGTTGGGGTCAGAAAATCTATGTCCTTCCACTCCTAGACACTGTCACACACTGAGGTGACCTTCTTCAGCTGTCAGGCTCTCCACAATATATTTACAAATAATGTCAAATATGTTACTGCAAGATGACAAATACGATGAGCTTAAGTCAGGAGCAAGGCCTTATGCTGCATGAGCAGCAAAAAGAAGAGGCAGGCAAATGCACAGAGTTGAGGCAACCTACCCCACACAGCTGAAAACATGTGAATTTGCATCCATATCCACTGACCATACACCTAACATGCATTCTTGTATATCCCTGTTTTGTTTTTAATTACATTGTGCCCACAGTATGTGAGGATGTTTGCGTGAATTGTGCTCAGCATGTCTCCTGGCTGGTGTAAAGTGTAGAATCTGCAATTACATGAAGAGATGTATCCATCCCTGCCTGCCTTAATAATGAAAAGAGCAGGGAAGGCTCAGGATAAGAGGAAAGAAAGGAGCAGCTGCAGCTCAGGAGCTAACCCTTTCATCTCTCAGGGAAGGAGGTCAATCTGATTGAAAGCAGCAACACCAGAAAGCATCTGCAAAGACGAGCCGTCTGGCTGAATGAAACAGAAGCCTTTGATAGGGGCATGCTGCTTCCCACACTATACAGCCCTGGGGAAAGGGAAACGTGTGTGCATGAACTGAGAGGCCAAAACCACCGATGACCTGAGAAGACCCAGAATCCAGCTGTTTTGTCTGACTACTCTTATAACCCCTCGTTCTTGACAGAATTGAAAAGGTAACAGGAAGCATGCTGACAGATTCCCCCCCCCAAAAACAGAGCTCCTTCCTCCACCACATTCTCAAACAGAGCTGCCTTCAGGGCAGTGTTTGCAAAGGCTGGAAAACTCCTATCCAAATTGCAGCAGAGATGTCTGCAAAGAAACTGTTTACCTGATCACCCATTTCTACAGCTTAGATTCAAACGAGCCACAAACAAGCTGCCTGAGCAAGCACATTTCAGCTGAGACCCATGATGCTTCACCAACTGCTTTCCTTCTCTCTCCCACTCAGGACGACCAACAGGCAACATCAGTTTGCGTGGCTACCAAGTATATAGGACATCTCCCAGGCTGTACTGACCTAGATAATACAATGGGGTACATTCTGTCAGAAATTAACTGTTCTTAATCCACTTCTCTGATATATTTGGTACATCAGTGTCTTTTCAGTGTGTGTTGGGTTATCCATTCTCCTGGTAGTAAATAAAACTGGGAGAGATGGATGTCTAATAGGGAAATAACTATGTTCTTCATGAGTTAAATCATCTGCAATGTCATCTTATACATCTGAAGAGCATTTGGTAACTCCACTGCTGCAGCGGACTATATTTAGGGCTCTTCATGACAATACATTCCCCTGTTGTGCATCCATGGTGTCTGTTCTGATAAAGACAGGCTTGTCCTACAGCACACTCCTAACTGCATTCCTGGAACACATTCTCTGCTTCATTCAGGGAATCCAGTTTGCAAGCTCTGAGTCTGGGGCACAACATGAAGCAAAGCACACATACACGGACAGGATTTGAGATTCATTTCTAAAGTACATGTCCATCCCTGCTACACTTGGACATCAAAGAAGCTTCACCAAAAAATCAAATGCAGGTAACTGAACATACAGAAACAGACCTGCAGTATCATCCCAACTACTAAAGCACAGGTGAAAAAATTAATGAGAAAAAAATATAAATACCTCTCTGGGTTTGGAGGAGGGAGGCAAAGAAGTGAAATCTGCCTTGGAGTCTGCAAAATACAGTGAACATGTTTCCAGAAATGCTCTTCTGTCTGTCATTATCTGTGTGTCTGTGTGCAGGCACTTCAGCACAAGATGCAGCTCAAAAAATCCAAGAGCCATTGTGCTGAACCGATGTTTCCCTCTAACATTCTTACCAAGGTCAATCAATCTAGCTGGACCACTTTAAGCAGAGGACCAAAACAGAAATCCTAATAAAGCACTGCTGTTTCCTATTTCCATTTTTCAAATATGGAATAACATGCATGCGGCAACCAATGTCTCTACACACAAAAATGTGGATATTCCTCGTTTGTATAATGAATATATTAGTTGTACAAAGCACCTGCTTTTTATATACAACCTAAAATAGGAATTAAACCTACTAGTGCTTTTCTTAATTACAGTAGGACCCAGAGGAACATGATCTCATACCTCTGAAGATCTACCAGCATTACCACATGATACCTTTTTTTCCTCTTTTAAACACTCTTGCGAATCCTTAAAGATCAGGGTGAAACATGATGGAGAAATAGAAATCAATTTTGTAGATAGATAGTTCCAGATTAATTTTATTGTCTGCCTCTGAAGAACAGAGCTGATTCAAAGCAGCATTGAATCTTAGTAAGTAAGGCCATCAAATATCAGAGGAGCTCCAGCTGGATCCAGTTATGAGCTCTAAACAGTAATATCAGCCCAGAGTTAGGCTAGGAAGGAGGAATGAAGTTCATGGGAATCTAACTAAATTAAAAAACCCAAACAAAACAAAACCAACACTTTCCGCTGGAGCTGGATAGACAAAGGACTGCCCTTCTCACATTTCTAACATGCCAGAGACCTGCTGCCTTTTACCCTTATGTAAAGTTAATAGGATTGATCAGTGCCTGATCTTAGTTACCTAAACTACAGGAGCAGGGTGATGAACGCCACCTTAGTCTTTCCTGGTGGATACAACTGTGGTCTATGCTTCCTTGGAACCAACAAACCACTTGTAAGAGACCCCCAAAAGGAAACGAACAAACGCTAGCTTAGTGTTCTACTTACCTGTAAAAGTGTTTTAGAGGGGTTTACCGAAACATAAAAGGAATAAAAAATCATTGTACTGGGAATGTTGCTTCTAATCATTCTCCCACCTGGCAGCTAGGAAGAAAGTTTATGCTTTTAAACTGTGATCCACTAACACATGCTCAGAAAACAATACCAGACAGATGCAGAAGCTCAAGCAGGAGCCAACTCAGTGCTTTGTTAGACTGGCTTGGCTGTCCTGACAGATGAGTTCTGGTCACCCTGGACAGAAACCAACAACTCAAAAGGCAGGTGAGCTCTTCTAAGGCCATGTCACATGTGCCATTTTAGAACTTACCCCAGCATGCTTGACATTTGTTTCTTCTTAGTGGCCCTTTCTGTATAGCTGGATAGCAAAAGCCAAATGATCTATGCCTATATCCATATATAAAATTAGTATTTTATTTAAGACCTCCAAGTACACACACTGTATGTAGCTAATTCAGGAGACAGCACTTTGAGGGAGGAGGAAAAGAAAAGTGCATTCAAAGACTTAAGACCTATTTTCTTGTTAAACATGATGATTAGTTGTTTCTTGGCACTTGGCTGGGTCCTTGGCACGAACAGGCTGCAATACTGGAATTACTGGCACAGGTGCCCAGAGAAGCTGTGACTGTCCCATCCCTGGCAGTGTTCAAGGCCAGGTTGGACACAGGGGCTTGGAGCAAGCTGCTCTAGTGGAAGGGGTCCCTGCCCATGGCAGGGGGTTGAAACTGGATGAGCTTTAACATCCCTGGTTCTTTGATTAATACTTCCTAGCAGCTGCTCAAGACACTCTGACCAAATCTGTTCTCAACATAAATTGCTGATGGTTGCACAATGACTCACTGCTCCAGCTACCTACCAAGGAGGGTTATGTCCAAAGAAGCCAACATCTATCACAGAGGATGTAACAGAACAGGACTCAACCTCCCATTTTCCCAACGATCTGAGCTTTCCTCCTGACTTTCAGGAAGCCATAAAATGTATATATTTTTTTTCTTTATTTTTTTTTTCCGGAGCGGACAGAGCATTAAAACAAAACCCCATTGATTAAATGCTGCTGTAACGGAGGTTTTTAATGAGGAGTACTGAAGCCAGGTACCTCGCAGCCGGTGCTGGGGATGCAGTGGCGGCCGGGGAGCGGCAGAGGGCATCCGGAGCCCGCGCCAGCGCTCCCCAAGCTGCTCCCCATGCGTGGCCGTTCATCATTGCCTCCTGCACTACAGCTTCACAGCGTCACTGAGAACTGGGAGAAAAACGCGTTACTTGGAGGAAACCCCCCCGCCACCTTCCACCAGTCCTTTCCATGTAAAAGTCAGGCTATGGTGGGCGTTTGCACGAGGAAGTTTTCAAGCACAATTTATATTTCATTAATCTTTTCATGCTTAGCTTCAGCTTGCTGTATTCCTGACCTTTCTGACACATCAAGCACGGCAACGCACATTTTAGTCTGACTACTCAGTTACGTAGCTTGAGGAATTCCAGTACAAGGTGAGTGAAACCACTGCTGCTGCAAAACTTGCCTCTGGTACCCCGTTACAGGGGATGCCTTCAAGGTCATGCACAAGTCTTCAGAAAGGACTAACTTTATAATCTTTCAGTGGTGAGAAGAGGCAAAAGAAACTGACTGTGCATTCACATTGTTTGTAAAATAGTTAGGTTCTGCGGCTAGTTATACTAGTAAATTTTGAGTTAAATAATACAAAGGTATACAGCTGTGAAACTGCAAGTAAAATTGAGATATAAGTATACATTAAAGACTTCTGCTTTTATCTTTGCACTTCAGTGTTAACAAGAAAATGAGCTGTGGGCAGCTCTGCTAAAGCAATAGTAGAGCATCCCATGTACATACAAGCCAAAACCACCTGCCCCTTTTAAAAACAACAAATGAACAAAAAAATTTAGAAGTAACCATGCTTTTTGTGTATCTTGCACTAAAAGCTCTAACTCATCTATGTCATTACCCCAAAAGGCCAAACAAATTAGCGCATTCAGCTCAGCAATCTTAATTCTACATATAAGCACACAAGGTATATTCACATGAATGAATTAAAGTAACTGCAGTAGTTATCACATCAGAAGTGCTGACTCCATTTCAGCTACCACCCAAAAACATCCCTGAAAATTTCTACACCCATCTTAAACAAACACACTTGTTATTTGCAGCAGTCTCTCAGTTCTTCAGATGCAAACATCCTTTTAGTTGTCTCACTGCTACACAACCTGTCTCACCAGTATTGGGAGGGATACCCAAAGGTGAGCATAAAGACTTAGTGATGATGTGATAACACTTCTATTAGTGATAATTAAACTTAGGCAGCCACAGTGAGTGAAGGGGTCCTGAACTGCTGGTACAGCACATTAAATGTTGAAACTATTAACTGTAAGTACATTCAGACAGCTCTGTTCAATGATCAAATGACTATTAGTCTTTCTGTAGCATGCACCATAAAAAGGTGTGAATTACATGATCATATGTCTTTTCCTGCCCAAGAAAAAGGACTACACTGAACCTTGTGATTTTTCCATTTCTTGTAGATCAGCTGGCTGGAAGTGGTGACATCCACTTTCAGAAACAACTTCAGAACTGGATCGCAAAGTGCATGGCAGAGATGATCCATTCTCTCCTAAGAGGGAGATTTAGCTCCAAGTTTGCCTGACACAAGAGATAAAGGCTGAAGTGGAGCCACAAACTTTGTGTTTAAATGCGCTTCACAGGAGGAATCAGACAGGTCACCTGCCTCAAATCCAAAGCAGCAGGGGAAGTACTTTTCAGGATGGCATCTTAATTACCAGCTTCTGTGACAATGCAATTCAGAGATCAAACCAAAGTCCTTTCCTGGCACTGGGAGACAAAGGGGAACACAGTAACCACTGGACACATTAAAGAAAAAGAGTGGAGACAAGCAGCAGAAAAAAAATCTCCAAAGATGTTCTGAACTTGAATTCCCTCCATAAACAACCTCCTTCAAGCACCCTCCATCTCTCATTGAAATCCCTGAAGTCAGCAGGAACAGGGAGCAGGAATGTTCGGCAGCTCTAAAAATAAGGCCACTTCTAAAAGCCTCTAAACATAGGTGCACAAGTTTGACAATCCTGGCCTTCAGCTTTATTTTTATGTCCCAACCCATCAATTAGAAAATGACAGTACCAGAAGGCTGGACAATGCCTTCCCTGCACTAGGCTCTGTGACAACCACAAGGAAAAATTAGATGTTCAAGCACAGACTGGATCCACGTAAGTGGGGATATATGGCAAACCTGCTTAAAAAAAAACCCTGTTGAATAACATCAGACTGATCACAAAAAAGCACTATTAGCATGCTGATAGCCTCCCGGCTGCTAACATGCCCTGCTCTTACACTAAACAGTATCTGAATAAGAAACAGTTTTATATACTACACCCCTTGCTTGTACTGGATTAAGTACGTCAAGTTTTCAAAGCATCACAGTTATTACAATGATACAGAGCTGCACTAACACACACATGCAAAATCCCTCTTGATTTTAAAATAAGAAGCAAAAAACCCAACAGCAATGTGTGCCTGCACTGAGCTGTGTTTTGGCAACTCAATCCTTTACTGCCGAGTTGAGCGCTTCTTCTGGCAGCTGAAATTTCACAAAGACACATCCTGAGGTTTATTTGCCAGTGAGAAGCTGGCCTTGCACAGATTCCCTACCAAGGGCTGAAATGCACCCCTTGGCAACTTTTACAAGGTAGAAACATTTAACTGCTTAACGTGTACTGATTCAGTCCTCACTTTTCACTCTAGGAGAAGCACCTCTCAGCATTGAGTCAACGCATTTCGTTTAGTTGAAACATGAAGACCCATCTGGTTACCACATGAAAGTAAATCTCCAGGTAATTAGACTCTAAACCAGCTGAGCTCAGGAATATGAGCTCGGGAATAGTACATCTGCATGGCTCACAAAGGGAAAGTTTGAGCATTGCATTGAAAAAACATAAAGCAACAGTTTATAACATTTTTAGCAGAGAAAGCAAACTTACAATTTGTAACTGCTGTACCATTTCTTCTCTGTATGCCAGTTCCCGCTTCATCTGATCTTGAAAATTATCTGTAAGAAGAGGAAAAAAAGAAGCAGATGCAGTAGTTAAAATGGAGACCACACAGTAGAATTCATATAAATAAAGTTAAATCAAACCAAATCACTACTAAGGAACCATGAAACACTACAAAGCCCTTCACTCGATTAAAACATGTTCCTAACAGAAACTTATCTAGTAGAGGACATTTCAAACAAGAGATGTGGAAAAAATCAAATTCAGTTATTTCCCAATTAGCAAACGTGTTCTGCTAAGTGTCTGTTGCTGGCATTTATTCCCACAGTTATTCTTCTCAATGGACAAGGCTCTGCAGTCATTAGTCAAACGTCTGCCAATGCTGATGAGAAGAGCAAAAGCTGTTCCCCTTTGCTTTGGCATAAATCTGTTGACATCAATAGTGATGTCCAACGTGTGAGAAGAGAAAGTGTTCAAGGATGCACAATTTGATTTGTAGTTTGTAACATCGTGCTGATGGCTTTGAACAAAACCCAGACTAAAGCTCCATAAACAGTGATGTGGAAAGCAGAAGGGAAAAACTCTTTGAAAGACTGATTCTTGACAGCTGGGTTACAGCACAGACCAGCCTTCTTGCTTCACTAGCTCCTCCTTCCCTTATTTTCCTCCTCTCTATCCATTTCAGACAAAACTTAATTTGGTAGAAAATTAACTGCTGGTCTGTTTTCATAACACTGTTGTTGGAGGGAGGGAAAAATAAAAATACGAACAAAACCATCGACAGGAAGCAAATAACGTGGAGAGCTGCATGATGGAGACCTGAGTGCAGTGGTGGATTATTAAATGGAGGAGGAAAGAAAATCCATTCCATCCAGTATCATTCTGAATCAGGAAACAAGTATAGAAAATAGCAAGGTGAATGCCAACAGAAAACAGCATGGAGCATCTGAACACGCAGAGCTTGGAGAAGAACTACAAGACCAAGGCAGTTAAACAGGTTTATTTACAACTAACCAATTAAGAGAATTAAATAATCATACTGGGACACAGTCACACAGCCTTGCGACAACTTCTCAACCCCAAAAGCAGGAGTGGGAAAGCAGTGAGCAGGCATGGCATGAGGCAGTGGAGAGGAAGGATGTATCTCTCCTGCAGGGGAAGAGGACATACCGCCATCAAGTGTGGGCATAGGAACACGGTAGAAAAAAGTACAAGGCGGCAGAGCTCTGTCCTCTTTCACACATGAATTTTGTCTCTCTGAATGATGACCAAAAGCTGTTTTTTATAAGGCATGGAGGCACTTCAGGACAACAAAAAAATAGCAATTAAACAAAGAAAGAGTGAGAAAATTTATCTGGCTGAATCCATTAGGAGGCCAGCTCAGTCACACAGAAAAGGATACAACAACATTACTCTATAAAAAGTTTCTCGAATTTCAAGTAAATGCCCACATAATTTTTCAGTCTATTCCCTCTAGTCCAACTCAACCAGGAAAAGAAGCCAACAGAAACAAAGCAGGTTTGCAGTTCCCCTCTTCCTAGCTTCAAAAAACCTCTGCAGTATAAAATGGTGATTGCTTCCTATTCTGGTCACTAAAGGCTGACATATCTGTGCCAGCTACGACTGGGGTCCTCCAGTTTCACTATGAGTAAGGCTACATGGAGAAATACTCCTTCTCTCCTTGACACTTTCCTCTTCACTGCCTCCTCATAGGCTCATCACCTCTTAGAAAAAATAGCTCAGAAATCTTGCTCAATCCTGCACTGAAAATGTCCAAGCTTGCAGTGGAAATGGGGTGCTAATGGTAACGATAGCAGTTTTTTCTGGCAGCATTTATCTGAATCTGAATGCTTACAGACAAAGCCATAAGCAGTACCCAAGAGAAAAGACATGAATATTTAAATAGCTTTCTTAACACAAAATTAAATACTTTAACTATCCAGACTATGTCTCCACCATTTTATTGCCACATTGTTAAAAGCACATGGACAAAATGTGTGTCAGCCTACACCAAAGGCACAGAACAGAAGAGGGTTCTGGGGGAACACGCTATCATCATGCACGAGTGCTCATATTTGTATCAGGACAGCAAATTCTTTGATTTTCTTCAAGTGATCAGACCTTTTCATTTTTTTATTTTCTTCAGGTGATCTTTGCATTGCGAGATGTTACAGGCAACGGAAAGCCCCATCTGCAGCTTTCAAGTACAACAACAATACAAAAAATAAAGGTACAAACAGCAGAAGACAAGGTCAGCTGCTTTATAAATTATCATGGTCCACATTTCAAGCAGGTACAAGAAGCCACAGAGAAGCATGCAGCAAAGTACTGCTAAATGAGTTTGCAAATAAGATCAGTTCTCATTTAGCAGTGATTTCCATGAGGAGAATGTGGAAACCAAACACACACGACTGCATGGCACCACTCTGGGTGGTGCTTTGAGGGTATTAAGGTAAAACACCCCAAATGTGCTCAGTTCTAAACGCAAGACCCAAACCAAAAAGGTGACTTTGGAGTTAATTACACGTAACCCAAGAGAGGCGTTTTGCAGAGGGATACAGTGATACCTTCCGCATCTCACACATAGCTGAACAGGAATGCATTTCCTCCCTTTTAAATAACTTTGAGAAAACTTAAAAACCAAAGGCTTCTTATTTACCCACAGACAGTTCAAAGCACAGGGAGAACCAACACAACCTGTGGGACTGAGAATTGCCCTGGTAGACTGCTCCTGTCCTCAGCAGCTTTAGGGATGGGACAGAAATCCAGTCCCCACTGCTGCTCGGCCTCATGCTGTGGTGAGCCAGAGTGGGATAGGATATTGTCCTGGGTTCAGCAGTAGCAGACATTTTTCTCCTTCTTAGTAGCTGCTGCAGTGTTGTGGTTTTGACTGTTGGCCTGGGAACATCACTGATAACACCGATGTTTTTAGCTGCTGCTAAATAATATTTACTCTGACCAAGGAACTTCTGAGTCTCATGAGTCTCCTGGCACATCAGGGAGGAGGGGAAGCTGGGAGAAAGTAGAGACAGGACACCTGACCCAAGCTAGCCAAAGAGGTATTCCATACCACAGCATGTCATGCCCAGTATAGAAACCAGAGCGAGTCACCCGGAAGGGCCAGATCACTGCTCGGGTCGGGCTGGTCAGTGAGTGGTGAGCGATTGTATTCTCTTCCCTTGTTATTTCCGCTGTCATTATTATTGGTGGCAGCAGTAGTGGTTTGTGTTATACCTTAGTTATTGGACTGTTCTTATCTCAACCCATGGGAGTTACATTCTTTTCATTCTCCTCCCCATCCCTCCAGGAGCAGGGGGAGGAAGAGGAGTGGCTGTGTGGTTCTGAGTTACCGGCTGGGCTTAAAACTCAACAGATATAAACCCTGTTACCTGTCTGCTCTTCGCTCCCTCCTACAGCCTCAGGTATTTCCAAGCCATGATAAACCCATCAATGCAATTTTAATTTTACCTCAACATTCCTTTAGCTGGTTCTCTGAAGACTTCTCTGCCTAGCTTCTCCCTATCCAACACCACCCCACACAGATACTGACTTCGGAAACCTTGGCAAAACACTTCCTAATACTTGACCTAAAGCAGTAGCCCCATCCAGCAGCACGAGCCTGGCACAGACCTCCTCTCTTTTGCTAGGACATGTATTGTTCTAGAAGACAAACCACTTCTACCCTGGATTTTACGCTTCTCTGCTTTACAAAGACCCTTCTTCTTGTTTTATTATATGCGGAGGAAGGGTGGGTTTTTTTGGTAAATCTAAATCTGTAAATAGGTTTTACGGTCACTTGTATATATTGTTTATTGCACATTATCTGGTTTCTATTTTAATCCTGAAGAAAATTGACCACTACTTTGTGGTACACTGAAACCACATATTTTTCAAGCCAGCATACAGTCGCCACTTCCTTGGTCAGCCGTACGTGTTCTTTTCTTTTATTTGAATTGTATTTCATGTGGTTTAATTGCAGTGTTTATTTACATGGCAATGACAGAGCATTAATTTTACTGTAGAAGAACAAAAGGATAAATAAGTGACCTGAATGGCAAAATTCCAAGATGCCATTTCACCAATACCACACATCAGTATTTTGATCTACACAAATTATTTTAAAATTACCTCACTCCCAAACCCAAGCAATGACTGAATTTATACTGAAGGATGAGGTTATCCTCCTTTCATTAATATCCATATCACCTCAGGCGGCTCTTCTCCTTTATTTATGAAGCTGTCTACATCTTTCAATATTTGGGCTAAAGATGGAGTCATTGCCAGAGTTCTCGCACTTCCTTGCTTCCCTGAACTTACCCTATCTGATGCTACAGAAAGGGGACAAACGTATTTTCTTTAAATAACAGGAGAATGATGTCTGTGTTCCCAGCTTTTCCTGGGAGATGCAACACTCATCAGCTTGCAGCAGTGGGCTCTGGCTGACCTGCTTACTTTGTTGGACCTGGCAATACTGGGTTTTTTTTCCCTGGAGTTTTTATCAAGGGACCTAGAGGTCTAAGAATACGGAGTTTCTGAATTCTTCAAGAAATCATGATAAACCAACATGAGGGCAGTTTCGTGGTGAGTGCTGGTCAGACATTTCAGGCACGTATGAGTTAACAGTTTAGCAAATGTCAGGAAAACCTGTAACATTACATTCATTGCATGTTAACGAGAGCCCTTACTGTGTCTTCTACATTGTCCTGATCTATGTGGGATTTCTCATGGAACCATGTTTTTCCCAATTGATGCCAGCGTAATTCAGAAAGTCTCAGTCAATGAGTCTTTATCCCTGTGCATGCAGTGTAACTTTCTGGCAGCTTAATGAAAACCCTAAGGGTCCATATTGTTTTCTCTTATTTAACACATGCCAGGCACATTCCATCACCCCTGGACAGCAACACCCTGCTCATCAGTCATGGTGGAAGGGCCATCTCAAATAGCCCATCTCAAGAGGAAAAGTCCAAATAGGTATTTCTGTCCCTTAAACAGGGGGCACATCAATTCTCCATTATCACCTAGAACAACCTAAAGGTAACTATCAAGTACCTGGTCTTCAAAAGCCTCCAAAACGCTGGTTAAGACCACTGGCACTGCTGTACCCCGAGAAGCCCCAGACATCTTTCCGTCTACTCACTGTATTCAGTGTTACCAGAATCAGTAAAATACACATTAAATAGACATCCAGTTTCAGATTTTCCCCACAAAAGGTCTGAAAAGCCAAGGCAAAAGTGCCATCAGATTCAGCAGAACTAAGCAAAGATCCTGGCAACACAACTGAGAACACACCTCTCCCACTTTAACAATGTGACAAACCCAACCACCCATAAATAACACCAAAACCACAGATGTGTATCTTACTGAAGACTGGGAAAGACGCATTTCCTTTCAACACCTGGAACTCCTGTTCTAGTCTCCTCCGTAAGTCGATCTGTTCAAACAAAACCTTCTGGAGTTCCTCTAACAAAGGGAAAAGAAAAGTGGTTTTGCTAATCTGTATAAATAATTCTTGAAAGAATAGTTGCAGAGCAATTCATTATTATAAGACAAAATATTTAAGCAGTTATAAAAAAAAAAGTGTTGCATAGACCTACAATAGATTTTGTGCAGAAAACCATGAATATAAATCAATGTAATATATTATTTTAAAGTATTATATTACAGTGTCATGTATTGATTGATATATATGCATTAATCTCAATTATATCCACCCAAAGGTCCATATATTATTCATATGTTATTTGACAAGCTTAAAATACGGTGCAGAACAAAAGTGCCCCCTATTATCCTCATATTCTATTAAAACAAAGAGCAGTTTTATAATGTAAGAGGCCCTTATTTATTTTACCTTTCCCCATGTTTTCCACATCCTTCTTCAGCGAATGAGATGAATTGGTTTCTTGGGTATGTTCACCTTTAAAAAAGGAGAAAGGAAAAAGTTAGTGATTTACTGCTATTGCTTTTTATCAGTATTGTCCTTCCTGTACATCTCCTCCAGAGAATCTGGAGGGGAAAAAAAACAAACCCCAAACCAACAAACAACAAGAAAAAATATTTGGAAAGTGTAAGATTGAGGCTTATCTACTAATCTCCATGTGCACAGCACTTGTATTTGCTTCTACTTTAGTAAAGTACCTGCCTACACCATGGCCTCCTACAGACAAGACCCCGTGTCTCCATGTTACCCTAGGAAAGCTCCTCTTGCATATCCTCTGCCGAACAGATCCCTTCTTTCCCTCTATCCCTTCTTGAAGATGTGTTAATTATAGAAGGAATAGAAACAAGCTGAAGAAGGGTTAGGTAGAGCCTTCTCTATGAGGTTTCTATCTTCTCCTTACAATGGGAAGTCCATGCTATCTAGCTGGGCAGGACCCTGTTCCAAAATCCACAGGCAAAATCCTCTGCACACCAGCCTTTATCATCTCCTATAATTCTAAGGCATGGGCTAGCTGTAACTAGACATAGTTCATATCTAGCTGAGATAAAATTGACATTAGTGGAATTTGCATCTAAAGGATACACCTCTGAGGTCAACCAATTCAAAGACTTCTGTTTTAGATTGCTCACGTAACTTTTAATCCTACAGTAGTACAGAATGTTCTAGATAACAAAACTTTACTATTTCCAGGTATATAAATACTACTTCTTTTGGCCTTTTTCCTTTTAAAATAAAATAAAATAAAACAAAACAAAACAAAATAAAATAAAATATCTTCACAAGGTGTTAAGTTCATCTGTATAATAGTTTGACCTAAATATGAACCTTCTGACAGAAGGTGCAATTTTCATTATCCTCTGGAACTATGAAATTTTTCTCTAATTTATGTGAATAGGGTTCTGAAACAAAAAAAAAAAGTTTTTAAAAAAGAAAAAAATATCACTTTAGCAGAAATTAATGAGAGAATTTCTATTATTTACAGTTGATGTAGAAATGGACTCTCAGTATTTAAGGAAGTATTTTTTAAATAACCAATTATTGAACTAATTGGACTAATTCTTGTTTTAGTCCAGCCAGTAAATACACATCATTAACTCTACTGATGAGTAATCACAGACATACACGTAAAACTACTCAAGTGTTTATGTGTTTGGAAGGAAGAATCATGTGGGAAATAAGCTGGGTTTTTGAAAATAAAAGGCCATAGCACTAAATAGGTCACCACTCATCAGATAAGAAAGCAGTTAGTTAATAAACTTATCCTGTCATCATGCATTTCCGAGTAGGTCATCACAATAAGCTAATTTAAAAGCTGAATCGGGAAAGTCTTGCTTTATATGCAGTTAGAAATCTTCTTGCAAAACATTTTCTTTTTTTTTTTTTTTAAATTAATTCATTCCTATATCCAGTAAACCTTGAAGTCACAGCATATGAAACCTATCCAATAGCTGTGCATTTTAGCATCTGTTATCTTTTCAGTCCGTAAAAAAAAAAAAAAGGCAACCACTCACTTAGACATACACATTTATACAACTGATTTCTGGTGCCAGCAATTCCATTTAAAAATATGTTTATGTAACGTAAGGATTAAGAAAATAATTTTTGTACGGTTCTTGATAAAAGCAAAGTATTTTCTACAAGTAACTTGTCTCATCACACTAAACGAAATAGCAAGCTTAAAAATACATCACTTTTTGGGCAGTGGTTTGTGCTGTTTCCTCAATATAAAATGGTCTTTGTTTGTTTAGTTAATATAATTGTTTTAAACATGACTGCTAGAAAAATAAATGTTGTGCTAGAGGAATTAGAGTGCACAAGATCAAGAAGAAGGAATTAAAATTTAGGAAGGATATTTATTGAGTTATAAATACTGGCATATTTTCCCAAATAATTTATTTTATTGAGGCAATCTTTTTCTAAATGTTTGAGTGCAATCTTGAGGGATAACAGACTCACAGACAAAAGGTAACTGGATTTTTCAAGGGGGAGAAAAGAAAAAGAGGAAGAGACTAGATCCTAGCACAGAGCATGGCGGCAACATCTCCCACTTGCTCAGTTGAGCTTCCAGGGCTGTATGTTTGAGGCTGCCGACTCGCTGGGACTGAAAGAACCACATGAAAATGAAAATAAGGGCATGAAGCATGAAGAATAACTTCTCCAGCATCTGCAGCTTCTCCACTAAGATACTGAAAAGACTTACTAGAAAATCCCCCATCCTTGCCCTCAAAATAAGGAATAGGATGGGAAAAGTGAGGGTACTTAGAGGCAACACTTGGCATGTAAGGTTCTAACGAGTAACTGTATTTTTAAACTGATGTTAAAAAAAAAAGCTTCAACATTATTATTATTAATGTTAATAATAATCAGATGGCTTTCACCTTTCCAGTCCCCCTGAAAATGATAATCAGGAGGCTGCTCTTCTCTGTTTTTCCATACTTCCCAGAGGCCTCATCATGCACTGTGTACTGTTCTACCTTAATTGAAAGGGAGGAGGTATTGAATATTTAACCAGCTTCCTTTCTCTTACATGTTAATTAAAAGCTAAATAGGTATTTTAAAACAAACAAACAGAAAGCCCAAAGAATTTTAATCAGTCTAAGAAAAAAAGAATCACTTCCCCTTCTAATAGCTTCACCATAACTCTCTTGGGCCTTGTCTACACACAAACTTGCAGCAGCATTTAAACGCTGAAAGCTGTGCAGCCCCTTGGTACAGACACCTAGGTTTTCTTCAAGAGAGGCCTATTTCAGTTTATTCAAAGAAATCAAACTATATCTCAACTGTCTGTTGGGTAGGGAAAAAGAGGATGAAGGATTTATACCCAGTTTAAACTGCCTCAGCTGAAGATTTTGGTACTTCCTCTCTTCCCTGTGCTCAGGTTCACAGACACTATTATTCTGGAATAAAGGTACATAGGTATTGTTCGCAAATGGCTTTCTTACCCTGGAACATGAACATCTGCCTGCCCCATGAAAGAAAGAAGATATTATGTCTGTGAGTAGACGCACCTCAAATTACTTTATCAGTACTCTGAAAAACAGAGGTCACAAACTGCACATTGACAAGGCCTCATCTCTTGTGATGCCTTTTTATTAGCTCTGCACCCACGGGAATAGTTGAATTTTTAACACAAGAAACAAACAGGAACATTCCTAAATGTATTCTCAACAAAAATGCAAGTTGCCCTCCTCATACAAAACCAAACCAGACATAGCCAGGTTACCTCTTCATGATGTGTCATCTAGAGCAGCTTCCTTCCTCAGGAAGATCTCAGGGAACTTTTCAAACAGCAGCTAAAAATTTCCACGCTAGCCCAGACAACAAAACGACATCAGCAGGCAACTGATTTGCCCAACACAGAGGTCTGATGGATTGGGAATGAAACTCCACTACCCCAACTCTCATCCCTGTAGCTTGTCCCCAGCTTGTACCCTATACAATTCTATGTGGCGCCAGATAACACCAATCAAAATCATCTCTCCTGTATCTTGGCATTGGTCCTATTAATCCTGGTCAGTAGTTAGGTATTGCAGAGCACACCATGTCTGCCACCCAGCTCTGCAGCTCACTCCTACCTTCATGAAGTTCACAGCACCGATGCTGTACCATAACTTAACATCCACTGGTATTTTAGCTGGAGAGAAGGCTGTCAGCAGACACAAACACTGCAGCCGTGAAGATCTCAGTGTCTTCTGGGTATAAATACACATGTATATACATATATTCCTCCATTTAAAAAATACAGGCAGACGTGAACTGGCAGACTTTCAGAGCTTCAGAGGCTCCATCTGTATTTGAAATGAATTACCTGCTTTAAGACATGCACAGTTCTTGCATATGTACTGAAGAAATCCTACCCTTACTGAAAATTTTCATTATTTGTGCATATTCATACCACTTTTGGGAGGAATAATCAATAGAACAATCAGAACTTGAGAAAATAGGCCTATTTTAGGAAACTCAGTAAGCATCTTTGAAGTGCTTTTCCATACTGGGGTAATACATGTGTCTGACAAAATCTGGAGCTTCGAATGTGAATTTGCCCTGAAAGTCGCTTAACTTTTAAAACAAACTAGTTCTTTCTTTTGCATAAATAAAGCTTAATTTGTAACGCCCATTTAAAGTTTAAAACATGAACACCTGATTTAAAAAAATCTGCACTTAATTACTAATGGATAGAGAATTTCACACAAAACATTCAAAAACTGCAGCCAACGTAAATATATGTAATACTTAATCAGTCACATCTGTTGGCTTTTCGTCTGAATTTCATGCCTCCATCTGGTAAGTATTTCATAACTTTATTCTAGAAGCACGAGAGCTAGAAGATTTCTAATTCTTGGTTTGTTTTAAATAGAAGGTAATATTCTCATTGGGTTCCAAAAAATAGGGCTTTAAAATAAAAACAAACCAACACAACTGATCTTCTGAAAGGTGTAAAAAATACAGAAGTTCAACAACGTTTTACCCTCTTACAATAATTGAAAGAAAATTCCTGAGGTCCTTAATAATAACAGGTGAGAAAAGAGACAGGAACAGTAAATAAGGACCCAGTCCTACAGTCCACCTGCAGTTTTGTCTGTCATGCAGATCCATGTATTCATATACAATTTTATGTACTAATACATAGTGCTGGGTCCCACATCTGAAACTCTGCCTTGTCTTCCCCCATTCCAACTTTAACTTCTTTTCTTTTTTTTGGCAAACACCTTCTGCAATAAAATTTCATGTCATTTAACTTCTGGATCCAATCCTTTACCACATATTCCAGTAAGGACTACATAACCATCCAGTCTACTATATATAATAAACGTTTGGCTGTTTTCAATACTCTACAAAGTGTTCTACAGTAATTGCACCAACATTTGCAGAGTTATTCTGGGTACATATTTAAAAGTAAATGAAAGAAGAATCTTGCTTCACCTGAATTTTCCTGAAATGTCTTCCAAATCATCTTTTACCAAAAAAAAAAAAAAAAAAAAAGAAAAAAAAAAAGATAGTTAAAAAGGGGAAATTACAATAAGATTTGAGAAGCTGACTCCTAGCTGTTATTAACACCAAATATTAGAGCTACCCTTTCTCATTAAAAGGGGTAAAAAACCGGAGTGGTTGGTGAAGAGCTGACAGACCTCAAATTCTCTAATAGGCAGTATTGGCAAGGCAGCCTTGCAGCGCCATAGAGTGCCGGACACATGCAGCTCTAACCACCTTCAATTCCAGCTGCTAAAGGAGGGTCATGATGGCAAACTGCAGCTTTCCCCCAAAAATGTACCAGTTATACAAGTTAGTCACAGTTATCTTTCAAAATTGCCAGGGGATTTTGAATAATTCCAGGATCTTTCCAAGCACTGTCTGATGGAAAAGGTTTACTGGCTATACAGAGTGAATGGCTACAGGATCTTCAAGCCTGTATCTATTTCAGCTTTTGCAAGAGCGTGGCATATGATGAATTTTTAAGTTCATTGACACATCGAGAATAAGAAGCAAACATATATGCTTACAGATGATTGTCTCTGGCACAGAAAATACTGCTTTGAAGACTCTCTTTACTAG